AAACATTTTGTATCTTCACACTTTTTAAACTGAAAGCAGATTTCTTTCTTCTAAACCCAAGTTATAGGATATACTATATTGTATATGAGACACTGGATTTAACATATCCTGTAGTTAATTTTGGTCAAGAAGCATCATGTAAATTAAAAAAAAAAAGAAGCATCATGTAAATTAACCAATGTATTTAGGGAATTTCATGATAGATATTAAAAGCAGTTAACAACTCCCCAACACACACACACACACACACACACACACACACACACACACACACACACCCCTTACTAATCTTTGACAAATGTCCATATATAAGGTTGAACCATATGAAATAGCCATTTGTGGATTAAACACAGTCAAATAATGACAACTTTATATGGTTCCATCTATGTAAATATTTCATTAACTGGTTTAGAGGGAGGTGAATTATTTCTAAAGTTATGCAAATATGAAATGTGATATTTTTTCATCAGAGAGAAATAAAATAACCATCATGGGTTCAAATAGGCACTTTACCTAAATGATCTTTAATCCTGGAAATAGGTACTTTTATTCATATACATAATATTATAGTATAAGTCATAATAGCTAAGTGTTATTGATCAATTGTCATGTGCCATGCTCTGTCAGAGGCTTATTTTTGTTCATTTCATATTCTAAGCTACCAGGGCAAGTAGTGTTACTATCCCCACTTGGCACTTGAAGACCCTGAGGCCCAAGGTGGAAGCCAGATCTGTCTAACCCCTCCTCCACGCAGAGATAATATTTTTATTCTCCAAGGTCCTCAAACCATTTTTGCCCCTTCTTTCAGAAACAATAAATAAATATTGAAAACACTGCATTCTACAAATGGACTTGAGCTCTTCTGTTGGGGGAAGAGGGGTAGGAAGATGAAGTTTAATCAGTTAAATATGGGGTTTCCTTACATCTCTGTGGAGTAGGATAATGGGAATAGCCAGTCAGACATTACTCATTTATCAATACTAAACAACTTCATCAAAACTAATGTTTTAAGCCTATTGATAGAAAAATATAATGAATTTCCCTTTGTCTTGATTGAACAAAAAGTCTTCAAACTTAATACATCAGCGATGTAATAGTGTTCCTATAATAGTAGAGATAGTAGTTTTCTATGTCCTTATCAAACTGGGTATGTATCTGTCAATAACTCATTGAGTTCTTTAAAAAACTTCCATTCTGGCTTTCTTCCTTTGCCTTCCTCCCTCCACCCAGGAATCTAAGGAGATTGAGTGAACATGGACAGATGATTAAGATAATTTAAAGATAACTAAATCTCTATATACCCTGGGTTCCTGAAATGGTCCAAGCGGTTCAAATTTGATGAGGATGATGATAAAATTTACCATTTTTAAAGCATCTTCTACATGTCAGAGCTTTATATACTTTGTTATTTGAAGCACACAGTCATCTACCAAAGTACATATTCTCAAAAAGGTACCTAACCCCAGAGGTTAAATACCGATTATACCTCGTATCATGTGGCTACTTAGTGAAATTCGAATCCAGATTTGATTCCAACAAATGGGTATCCTTCAAAACCTGTTGCCTAGCAACAAATCGATCCTAGAGACTTGCCGTTCCCAAGTGAAGAAAAGCAACCAATTCCTTCCTAGAAGCCAAACTTGAGGGACAATTAGAATTTTCTAATAGAAGTGCCCCCCCGTCCCCTTTTGTGACCCAAACAGTTATTTAGGCCGTAAAGCCTCCCATTGGCCGAGGTCAATTTCATATCCTAAAGACTTTCCCCCGCGCTGGGGGAAGAGGAGGGTCCAAGACTCCCAGGAAATTAATAATTTTCTTGGAGCGACCTCAAGTTAGGGACCAAGTCCTGCAGGCGACATTTGTTCATCCACATCTAGGGATAAACCTCTCTCCCAAACTCAAGACTTCTTTTACTTCACAATTTTAAAACAGGAACGAGGCCACCCCGCCCTTTTCCCTCTCCCTGCCAAGAAAAGGATCAGGTATGGACAACGACATTCCAATCCCCCTCCTTTCTTCATTTCCCAAAGTAACGAGTGCAAGTGCGGACGTGTGTCCGAGATTTTATACACCCAAAGCGCGGCGCGGCGGAGCGTCTGGGCTCTCCCCAACCCGGGTTTCTCGCCCGGTCCCCTCCGTGATTCCCCGAGCTTGCTCCGCCCCCGTCCCGCCCCCGCCCTGCCCCTCAGCCCCGCCCCAGGCTCGCCCCGCCCCGCCCCCTCTGCCTGGTCCGGGCCCTGCACCGCCTCCCCAGGCTTGCCTAGCCGGCCAGCCGGAGGCTAGTCCCGCCCGGCCTCTCACGTCTCGCGCCCTCCGGAGCTACCTGGGCGCGTCCCGCCTCCTCCCCGCCCCTCAGCGGCTCTCCGAGCTAGCCCCGTCCCCGCCCGAGCGCTCCTTCCGTCTCTGCCCTCTGCTGCTTCCCGGGCTCCAAGAGCCCGCGGTCTCATCTCCATGGCGACGCTGCGTCTCCGGTTCCTCGCTCCGAACTCGGCGCGAACCGCGAGCTGGGCTGGCCTGCGGTGTCTGCCCTGCGGACCGGCGGTGTGAGAGGACCACGAGCGGGTAAGAGGCACTGCGGCGACTGCGGGTCGCCCTCTCCCCACCCTCGCGTGCGGACAGAGCCAGCCCTGGCTTCCGACGCCCCCGGGCCCCGCGCCTGAACACGCAAACTTCTCTCCCCCCCTCCAGGTGCCGGCTCCGGAGCTTCACGGCTGCCGAGACGGCGCGCGAGAAGGTAAGCTCCGCGCAGCTGCTCGTGCACCACGGACTTGGCTTCCTCCTTTGGCTGTAGTCAGGCACTCAGGAAGGGATATAGTATTTGTGTCTACATGGGTGTGAGTGGTCACTAGGCAGTTCTGACCACCATTCCCTGACCTGCCGATTCGCATGCGCAAACTGCTCACCATCCCCCAAACCAGTGAACATAGCCTTGTTGCATCTCAGAGCTTCCAGCTACTTCGCTCCATCCTTGACCCCCACTCCCCTCCTTTTTTAAAAAACATTTTTTTCTTTTGTCTGTTTTTTTTTTCTTACTTTTTTGGGAGAACAGCTTAATGACCAGTAGGAGCCAGCATTCACTGATTGAACTTAGGATGCCACTACTTACCGGACATAACTTGCTCGGCCAAAAAAAAAATTCTTGTGGAATTTGGAAAAATCGTTGAATCTCCCCGGGCCGTGTTTTCATCTTGTGTAAAATGAGGGGCTAACAGTGGATCACTTCTAAGATCCGGTCTTCAGCCTTCTGAGAGGTGACGAAATTGACTTGAGATTTCCAAAATCAAGATGTGTGGCCTTTGATTACTCCTACTACTCTGCATTGGGCCGCTGTGGCACTTAAATTAACACAGGGCATAATTATAAATTTATCGTTTGACTTCCCAGAGGGCATTGGTGAGTTGGGCCAATTTGTTCTTACCCCAAGAAACTCCTGGAAGTGGCTTTTAAAAAATAAACCTGAAAAAGACACTGAAAATGTCTTTTGATTTGTTTCATTCTCCTTAAAAACCAAATGGAGTGACCCCCAAATCCACATTTATTTTTTTATTTAATCAATCAATCTCAGGAAAACAAAGTTTTTTCCAGAGGGGAATTCCCACACCTTTGTAGGGATTCCACTGCACTATTCCAGAATTCCAGAGCTTCCTATCCCTACCCCTCACTGCCACCGATTGGGCTAAATGCTCAGTGTTTTCTCCCCCTTATTTGCTCTGTCCAGTCTCAAGTGTGCACTTAGAACTGGCTCTCTTAGAGTTCACCTTCAGCACCGTCCTTGCTAGGTGGTAGGTAATAATGTAATAGGAGGAGGAGGGGTTGTAGTAATTATAATTGTAGTAGGAGATAGGTGCTATTATTTGTTATAGCTATTTATATCAATCTTCCCAATAACTCTATGAGGTAGGTAGTATTTTTGTCCTCATTTTACAGCTGAGGAAAGCGAATCATAGAGAGGTTAAAGAACTGGCTCGAGTTCACAACAATTTGCTGAAATTTGAACGTAGACAATCTGACTCTGGAGTCTGGGCTCCTAGCTCTACATTATACTGTAAAGGAAATATATAAAATTTATATGTCGTCACTTTTAAATATGAATGTAAATGATAGATGATCACTGAAACCATTTTTATACACATTTGAGACTATGCAATGAAGATTGCCCCTGAATCCTTTTGTGTCCACACTAGGCTCCCCTAGGGTGGAGGATGGTGCTTAATCAGCTCTGTCTCCTCATCACAGTTGCAGGGCCTGAGCATGTAGCTAGCTATTTCTTAATTCATTCTTTGCCTAGTAGAATTCTAGGTGGCTTATAAAAACGAATAGTACAAAAGGATAAATTGCACAAATGGGATGGAGGAACATGTATATATCTTCCAGTATTACAAGAGAAGCCTAAAATGAGAATTTTGTGAAATCTGAATTTTGAATGCTGGTAACTCATTTTATGAAAGTTTTTCGAAACCTATAGAATCCAAATAAAACCTATTTGGCCCTATCGGCTGCTGGTTAGTGAACATTTACCTAGAGGAGTAAGGGGATGATATGTGTTATGTTCTTTTTTTAGTACTAAGTCCTTAAAATCTGGTGTGCATATCTTAAATTGAACCAATCACAGAGCAGGTGTTGAACAGCCACATATGTCTAGTGGCTACCATATTGGATAGCAAAGATCCAGTTTAATACTTTTCTTTTTCTTTCTTGCTTTCTTCCTATTTAACAAATATTTATTGAGCACCAGTTCATGTGGTACTTGAGTTTTTCTGTTCTTTGTAGCCAAAAAAACCTAGCTGAACTAATCGGGCTTTTGGGGATTTTGTTTGAGAGAGTCAATTTTTCCAAAAGGCTACGACTATATCACACAAAACTCATGTTTTGTACCATGTGTATAAAATCTGTCTGCAATGAGAGAGAAGAATGAGGCCCACCTGGAGGGAGAAGCTGAGATGAACAAGGGAAACCCCCATGCCCCTCCTTGAACACAGCTATATCCACTGTTCTGACTGCACACAGCTTGGCTATTTAACTCTTGATTCTTTGAGCCAACCCTTTCTTCTTTTGCCTAAGCTAACTTGAATATGGTTTCTGTAACTTAAAATCAAGAGTACAGACTAAGATAGCTAAGAAGTCAAGAACTAAGCCCTTTCTTTTAGAAATGAGCCCATAATTGGGGCACCTGAGTGGCTAAGTCCGTTAAACATCTGCCTTTGGCCTAGGTCACGATCCCAGGGTCCTGGATCGAGCCCCACTTTGGGCTCCCTGCTCAGAGGGGAGTCTGCTTCTCCCTCTCCCTCTGCCCTTCTGCACACAACCCCCACCCCCGCTTGTGCTCTCTCTCTCAAATAAATAAAATCTTCAAAAAAAAATTAACCCATAATGACCCCTACCCTGACCTCCAAAGTACATCTTAATTTACAAAATAAACAGAATATTTTCAAACACGTATAATCACATAATTATGCCTTTATAAATCACTTTGTCATATAAAGTTTATATATTTAATGAGATACATTTATCTTCTGATGAATACTACCCATCTTTCTATATTAGTCATTCAGTATATTTTTCTTAATAAAAATAAATTTATATCTGCTTGTCCCCAACTCTTTTCTCAGAATCATCCCTCCCAATTCTATGGGCCTTTCTTTTTAATTTTAAGAGTATTCTAAGCCAATTAAGTTACTTATATCATTCCAGTGGTTTTATTCATTCAGTCAATATCTGAGTGCCTTTAAAATGGTATGAGACCCACACTCATGAATAAGAACAAGTTTGTGCTCTCCAGAAACTTCTATGCTGGTGATATAATCATTCCACCACCCTGTAGTTATCTGTCTACATATTACTTACGGGTGTTTCCTGGACTGATTCTTTTACTCCACCTGCTTCTTAATGTTGGTATTTCCCAGGATTCTCTCCTGGGCCTTGTCTTATTCTACATGGGCCATGCCATCCATCCATCCATCCATCCATCCATCCATCCATCCATCGTGGCCATCCCACACATGATCTTTGCTCTTGAGTTCAAACTCTCTTTGATAGAATTGAGCACCACTTAATTTCAGATGACCTACAGAAATCTCCAACTCAGAATTTCCCCGAAACTCATTATCCACCCCCCAAGAATGTTCCCCCCGGCCCCCTCATCCTAGTCTTACACACTAGAACCATCAACTTCTCCCTCACTTCTGTGTCTAGCGATCCTCAGCTTTACCTCTTGTTTGGTTCCAAGTGTACCTTCAAGGCTTTGTACATCATCTTTTTTCCCTGGACTAGGGTTTGGCAATTTTTTTCTGTAAAGGGCCAGATAATATATATTTTAGGCTTTGTAGGTCATACAGTCTTTGTGGTAACCATTTAACTCTGCCACTGTAGCCTGAAAACTGCCATTGATAATGTACAAACAAACAAGCATGTTGGTGTTCCAATAAAATTTCATTTATAAAAGTAGGCAACGAGGGGCGCCGGGGTGGCCCAGTTGGTTAAGCATCTGCCTTCGGCCTCAGGTCATGATCCCACAATCCTGGAATGGAGCCCCACCTCTGGCTCCCTGCTCAGCGGGGGGCCTGCTTCTCCCTCTCCCTCTGCCTGCCACTCCCCCTGCTTGTGCTCTTTCTGTCAGATAGTAGGCAGTGAGTCATATTTGGCTCATGGGCTTTCATTTTTCAGCCCCTGCCCTGGACTATTATAATGACCTTGTAACTGGTTTCCCCACCTCCCATTCTCTCTTAGGTTTACCCTCCACAGCATTTCTTTTCTAAGATAGATCTAACCATATGATTGTTCTTCAGAGCCTTGGTTTGCTTTCCATTGACTACTGGTTAAAACCCCACATCCTTTGCACATGGTAATTAATGACTTTTCAAGTTTGCTGCCACATATATTTCCAACTCCATCTATTACCATTTTCTAAGACACTGCTGTTCTTCCCCTTCTGTTGACTGCCTACTTGGCTAAATAAATGTCACCTTCATCGTGAAGCCTGACTCTTGCTTCCCATAGCAGGCAAAATAATATCATATTCTAGGAATACTTATAGAAATCATACCTGAAGGAATGTAGCAAACGTGGAGGACAGTCCTCAGAACTGGATTCTGGAACTGGAAAGTTGTTCAGTGACAGCTCTGTTGACTAGATTCTCACTTCCTTTGTCTTTCCAATTCTGTCTTCACTGCCTGCTGACTCCCCTTGGGTATCCCTAGTCCATGAGGTCAAAAGAAGGGATTTGATTGGCCCTGTTTGGGCAGTATGGAAAATTATATTAGAGGGAAGCATTTAGTACAGTACTTTGAAGCTTGGTCTGTCCTGTATATGGGAAGTTGATACTTGTTTCCCCTATAAAATTCTGAGCTTCTCTTGTATCCCCAGGGCTTATCACAAACATATCTGTGCTAAGGTACATCGTAGGTGCTCATCAAATATTTGTTGTAAATAGACATTGAATATCAGGACATGAAATAGACATGGAAATCAGGAACTATCATAACTGTGTTTTTCCCATTACCACTGGGACTGTTGAAATACATCAGAAGAGTCTGCCCATGTTCAAAATCCAGAGGGTATACTTGGTAGAGACTCAAAGGCTGATTAAATGAATGTTGTGATGTTAACATTAACCATATGCAATAGTAATGAATATACAAGGTGTGCATCTCTATACCATTCTTTCTGGATACCATGACCCCAATCTGAATAGCGACCACTGGGTGGAAAAGAGAATTAAAGTAGCACAAGGCCAATATACAGCTTACATACCTGTAAGAGATGGATAAACAGAGAGATAAAAATAGTGTTGCAAATTTTAAATGGTTTTTTTAATAGATAATACATTTATTTTGTTCAAACTTCAAGAGATGCAAATGGACATAAAGTAAAAAACTCCCTCCCACTGCAGTCCTGCAGCCATCCCTTTTTCCCACTGAGTCAACCATTATTATGTTTCTTTTCTGAAAGCATTTCCTTTCAGAGATATTTTTGCATACTGATAGTTATTTGAAAAATACATATTACTTATACGACGGGCTGGACCTCATTCTGCTCAGCTTATCAGTCACTGCTTTTATTCTACCTGTGTTCTCAATTACTCTGTTTTTTCCCTGGTGTCAATGATCTTTTTAAGCAAGTATCATTACTTTGGAGCTTATGTGATTTTTTAATTAATTAAAAGTCTTCAGAGCTAGTCTGCTTGTCTCAATCACAATAAAACCTTTTTGGCTCCCTAAGCAATCTTAACCAGCCCTATAGGACATCTTCCCAGTTTTTCCTTTATATAAAACATCACATTGTTTCTACAGCATCCCTCCTGTGTGCCAGGTGCTATGCGAAACACTTTACCAGATCATCCTATTTAATTCTTACACTGATCCAATGAAGTTGGCACTATTGGGATTCCTGTTTTACAGATGGAGGAACTGAAACCTAAAGAAGTTAAGTAGCCTACTAAAGCTTACTTGGGAAATGGTAGAACTGGGCCATGAATCCAGTCTCTTTCTCTAAAGAGCCCTAACTCTTGAGTATCACCCTGTACTCCCCCTCCCCCAAAGAATTCAATTTTATGAAAGGAGATTAAATGGACATTTCCTAGATAATGATAAATCCAGACCTAGCAGAGCCTGGTTTCCATCAAGGGCTGGGATCTGCCCATCCTAGGTTTTTCTTTTACCAGGTGAAAATGGGAGAATTATATGCCCTCATGTTTCATCCATCTACCTTTCATCCAGGTAAAAGGTAGAATGTAGCAATTCATAAAGATCCTAGAGCTAGAAAGGAGAGAATATAAATATAAAGAGGATGTCTACTCAGACATACAGGCTGTGGAAATCTGTGGAAAGTACCTCTCAGGACAGGTCATCTTGGATTTCTTTTGTTAGGGCCCTATTTAGTTCATTATTGCATTGTTTCAGCCTTTGAGCTCTACTGCCCTAGAGAAGTAGGGCATTTATCCTAGAGTCTGGTCTTCTGCAACTTTTTTTTTTTTAAGATTTTATTTATGTATTTATTTAGAGGGAAAGAGCGCTCATGTGAGCTGGGGGGCGGGGTGGGGGCAGAGCAGAGGGAGAGGGAGAGAATATTAAGCAGACTGTGCTGAGTGCTGAGCTGGACACCACTGGGCTCCACCTCAGGCAACCCTGAAATCATGACCTGAGCCAAAATAGATGCTTCACTGACTGAGCCATCCAGGCACCCCTGGTCTTCTGTAACTGTTTTTCCCGAAAAGATGCCTTGCTTTTTTGATGGACTTCAGCTTTCTCTGAATTTCTCAGAGGGATAATCAGATTAATAACATATATAATGTCTGGCTTGATCAGGATTTCCCAGAAAACAAAGCCTGGGACAAAAGTTTATGTACCAGTGCTTTATTCCAGAGTACAAATCAGTACAAGGGAGACAGATTTTAAAAGAGAAAAACTTAATACAAAATAGAAGCTTCTCTTTTATTGTCCATAGTTTTGGCCTTGAATTTTGTATTCCAGAAATCCCTAGTATGTACTTCTACTACTAATTTTTGAAGTCTTGCTTGGGATGTGGGGATAGCAAGTGTTGGGGAAGGAGAGGGCAAGAGAATTGTTATTTACGAAAATTTAAGTGTGGCCTCTCTCATACTTAAAAACCGTTAAAAGTTGATTTTTGTCTTAACAATTAAAAAATTAAATTTGCCCAAATATGTGAAGAGCTAACTTACAGGAAAATCTGTTTAGGGTAACCTAAAAAAGGTAAACATTCACAAAGAAAACATTGTAATTTGTAAGTATTAATAAATACATAGGGAAACTTATAAGGTAAGAATTGTATTTTAAAATGTATCTTTGGATAAAAATCAAAGGTTAATTTCTTTTTTTTTTTTTTAAGATTTTATTTATTTATTTACTTGAGAGAGAGAGAATGAGAGATAGAGAACATGAGAGGGAAGAGGGTCAGAGGGAGAAGCAGACTCCCTGCCGAGCAGGGAGCCCGATGCAGGACTCGATCCTGGGACTCCAGGATCATGACCTGAGCCGAAGGCAGTCGCTTAACCAACTTGAGCCACCCAGGCAAAGGTTAATTTCTAAATGTATTTATTGAAATAAAAATACTTTATTTAAAATATCTCTTATCTTGAAATACCATGGAAAAATTTCTTGTTCTGGCTTAACTATGCTGTTTTTCATAACACAGATGGCACAGATGAACTGGAATGTGGTTTATGTTGTTTTATTTTGTTAAAGTAGGGGAGAAACATGGCTTTGGAAGGATGAGCCAAGCTGAATTTATGATTTCTAGTGTCAGCTCAGTAGGAAAGGGGAGTCCTTAACCTGCTGTTGATTGTATTTGGATCTGGATCTAGAGTCCAAGTTATGTAAAACCAAAACAGAAGCAGAGAATTAGAGGCTTATTTAATACCTCACTTTTCTAACATGCAAAATTATTCCTATAGCTCTTTTTACATAAGCTCCAAGGTGAAATGGGGAGAAGGGAAGGGCTACTTTCTCTAGACTTTTTTTTTAACCCAATTTCATAATACAAAAGAATGAGGTTTTTCAGTTAGGATGGCAGTGACACTACTAAATAAAAAAGCCAAAATATTTGATATCCTTATGACAGAGTTCTGCATTGTTTTATTTATAGTCTAAATTTATACAGTGTTTAAAGACTTAGGAAGTCAATATTTTGTTTTTTGCAAGAATTATCTAGATAAGACAGATGCTGTAAAGATAAGACTATATAAATTATTTTTAGGATGCTATATAGATCTCTTTTACCACCAGTTTACATAGTTTCTGAATAATTGGCTTTAGTATAAAATTATATTTTAGCCTAGATAATAGAAATGTTTATATAAAGGCTATTTATAAATTATTTCAAATACCTCAAACTAAAATGATAATGCTAGTTTTTATTTTTGCTTCTATTTTAGGTACCAAAATATAAACAGAATGGCAGATTGCTAGTGTTTGACCCAAAGGGTAAATGATTCATTACTTAAAAAGACTATATTTCATCACCATTTTGTCCTAAATATTAAGAAGATAGTCTACTTGAGTGATTGAATGTGGTTGAAGTCTTAGCAGTTAAATCCTTTATTAGATTGCTTGTCATTCAAAAAATGCTGAAGTGTATTTGCCAATCAGGAATTTCTGTTAGGAGTATCACTACAGAAAAAATACTGAATTGGTTTTTTTTTCTTCTCTTTCAGAAAAAGTGATGATTGAACCAAATGAAGCAATGTCAGAGTAAGAAGATGTCTCTGGTTGTGCAGCTGATCTATCACATGCCTTTTAAGCAATTAGAACTAGATAATGCAGTCATTTGTCACCCAATTAAATTTGAAAGGCCAGAAATGCATGGATTAGCACTTGAGCTTTTGCTTCAGTCAAACAATTGTTACTTAGATAAAAGAACATTTAAAATGAAAAATGAATTTTGATAAAAATTTAGAGGTATAGATAATAGTCATTTCTACTTTTTAAATGCTTAAATACCAAGTAGTCTGTATTTTACTTATATAACTTTCATTGTTCATTCCTATTTCCTTTTGATACTTGCCCATGTCTTTCAGAATATCCCTTTAAATGAATATTTACTTTAAAATTAAAGATTTACTATGAGATGAATCATTACTAAATAAGGGAAACTGATCACCCCAATTAGTTGAAGGGACTAATGTTAAAAAGAATCATGGTCCAGTTTCAGTATAGTAGCTAAATATTAAGTACCTGCTTTGTTCAAGGCACCGATTCTGATAATTCATCAAAACCTTTCCTGATATGATCATCTCCTACCTCCTGAGAAAAAAATTATATTATTAATTCCATGAAAAATTACACTTTGAAAGTTGATCATAAAACACATTCATAGTGATCAATTATTGGCAGATTGGTAGAATGGTGCCAAGCTGATATTATTTTGGTTTATTCTGAATAAATTTGGCTGGGAAATTTTTCACCTCGTGCAACATATATTTTAATTTTCATACTATCAAAGCTAAAAATTAAAATTAGAGTCCACCTTGGCCTTTGTTGTAAATTATATATTAAATACATACTTTTATATTAAAGAGAAAGAATGTATAACAGATCAAAGACAGAATCTATGTTTATTTCAGATTGTTATAGCTAATCAGAAAAAAAATAAATGCCACATTAAGTATATCAAGCTATATGTAAATATGTATCTATATCCAATTACATGGTTTGAAACATTTAAGTTTTAAAAATGTAAGAAAATTTTTGTAGTCTTTGAAGGAAGTATGATATAACTTTCAATAATAATAATAGGTCATTAATGAAAATAAATTATTATTGTGTCTGTGAATACTGATGTTCATAGATTGTAATAAGCAGTGTTGGAACTGAAGCAAAGGTTAAACCACATCCTGAGTTAAACCCCAGGGATAAATCAGATGCAGCCTGGGCCAAAATAGAAAAGCAGAGTGATTACTTGTTCTCTTGATCTCATTAATAATTGCATCTGCTTATCAAACTAATTTTTGCAAGGACAAAAAGATCATGTTCCCTTCAGTTCACTTACAGAAAAGAGTTTGGGTTTGGTTTGATGGTTGTTTGGAGTGAGGGAGGAGGAGGAATTGTTAGTGTAGCCCATAAGCTTCACAGGTGTGTGACTTTGTCACCTTGAACCTTACCCAGAGTTCAAGGTAAACAGGGCCAGTCCTAGAAAAAAAAAAGATCAAGTAAGAAAATAGAAAATCAGAGGACCTTTGCTGGAGGAGCAATGTGACCTGGAAAGTTGATGAATTTCCTCAGTATAGCTTTCATTCTCCTCTCTACCTCTCTGCTAACAGCACCTCCTCCTCTGCCGCCCCCCCCCCACACCAACTCCACTTCCTCCTTTGTCAGGTGAAGCAGTGGGAGTGCATTTGCCTTAATCTTCTGATTGCTTCTTTAGTCTGAGGCATAAGAAGTGTATGGACTTAGAAACAAAGAGTTTCAAATTTGGGGGCATGCAAAGCCCATATTTATTATTACCTCTTTTCCCCATGGATCCCATGTGTGAAAGATTTTGTCTACCCAACAAATTGCACTTAATTAACAATTTTCAGCAATAAAAGTACAATATATCTTTAATGCTAGATGAAGTTTTATAGCTCTTGGACCTTTGATCTCTTGGGTTTGGGGTCAAGCTTTCAAGCATACTTAAAGATGTTGAGGAGAATGGCTGAAGCAAATCCACAGCATTCAATTGAAAAAATTGTATCTATAGGTTTTCCATAATCATATGTTTTATCTCTTCTAAAATGAATGACAAGTTATTTTTTTTATTTCTATTTTTATACCTTAAGTAAATGCCTCTTTGGACGTAGACCAAGATTGGCAAGCAAACTTTGTACCTTACCAACACAAGTCTCTCTAAATGTAGCTAGGACATTCTCAGAAAAGTAAGTTTTAATCAATTTCAGTTTTAAGCCTATGTTTGACAAATTTAAATGGTTTTTAAAACAAAGTTTAAAATCTAAACTTACTGAAAAAATTATTAATTCCAATAGAAATTTGGGGCCACTTCATAAATATGCCTAAAGCTCTTAATAGATTTTTAGGAACAGTCCTAAAATCTAGGTTATCTAAGCTCTAACATAAATTTGTTTTAGAAGGATATCTAACTTGACTGACTCTCTGACTAAGTAGAAACTAAATTAAATATCTTCCATTTCCAAAGGATATTACATAAAGTAAAAATATGAATCTTTCCTCAACTGTAACTATTTGAATTAAAGAAAACAAATCTTTTAGAGTATACTGGTTACCTATTTTTCTTAAGTGGTTAGAGGCATTACCGTAAATAATGTCATTTTCTCAAATGGAAGTCAAAAGATTGAAGAGGAGGTTGGACTTTGGGACTTTGATTCTTTGAAACTATGTATGAGAAAGACTACAGAAAGTGAGCAGAAAAGGAATTCATATTTTACTGTTAAAATGATGATTTTGTCAAGTCTCATGTATTTTGATGGTATGTTCACTGCTTCCAAGTAGTAATATCCCATTTAATATTGGGCATTGGCTTCCTCCATGTTGTGTCATTAAGGTTATTAGAGGCATTTCCAATTATTTAAATACCCAGAACTATACCAGATAAATTCCCTCTCTTAGGGATATAATTAGTGAATATGTAAGTACCATACCTCATAAATTCTAAAGCACACATATTCTCTTACAATTGATGGCATCTTACACTTAAATTCGGCAGTGCTTTTTCTTTCTTAAATAACAGTATATCTTATAGTAAATACATGGTATCTTAGATTCAACAAAACACTAATTCGTTGTGGGGGGAAGACAGCAAAGTTCTTTTATTTAGATTAGATGGTAGAGCATATAAATTCTAGTAATCACTTGTGGCAAGCTTTGACGTAACGGGAATCTCACTAGAAATTAAATACTTAGCTGACTTCTCAACTTTTTAGATGTAGAGTTTCATCTTGGATCCTTTTTTTTTTTTTTTTCATAATTAGAAAATCAAGGAGGGCAGAGGCAGAACAAATGTAAATCAACTTTGAAGTTTTCATTACCAGAGAGGGGTTCTGCTTTAGGAGCATATACTGAGGAAGTGAGATTCCGTCCCCTCCCATAATACTAAGAATATAACAAGCTGTTCCGCCTATTTGCTAAATCACTATACAAGATCACTGACTTAACCATACTCATGTTCTAGATTCATATGTCAGTGGGAAAAAGAGCCAACGTAACTGGGGAAAGAAAATACTTCACATCTTTTTATATCTTGAAATGCAAAGTAGAAGTTGAATTTTTTTAATTTGTAAAGGAGACGTTTTTTTAAAAGAATCTTAAGACCACAGAAAAGAGACTTGGGATTATTTTTCCACCAGCATGAGTACCTGTCTTTGTAAACAGAGTGCACCACACATGAATCCTCTGTCTTAATGCATTATTATTGACATGAAGTTTCAGGGTTTAAAGGCTAAAAGAGAAAATTAACCCATTTTTATTTCAGCTACTTAATGAAAAAGCAGGCTACTTTATGTTATGACCAAGGTTTGATATTCGTCTTGGACTCTCTCTGTAAGTGTAGCATTTAGCAATGGTGAGAATTGGTCTATAAATCTAGAAAAAACCTCAAGGCTAGTATTCCTAGTTTTATTCCAACATATTACAATGATGTGGCAAAGACATTCATATAATTGATTGCTTGTATGCTCTATGTTAAAGAACCCTGAAAAGATTTTAAGGGTCATTACACAATGACAAATGCCAAGTAGAAGTAGAATTTTAATCATCAGTAAAAATTATTTTTAATGCTTTTCCACAAAAAAGATATTACATTTTAGCTATTCAGTTTATTGTTGATATATTCTGTGTTTATATTGTGTGTGTGAATGCATATGAAGCTTTAAACAGAACTGTGACCTAGGAAAGTATTTTTTCACTATTTACTTTAACATTTAGGAAGGAAGTCTCTTCAAAAAATATTGAAAATACAGCTTCTTTAAGGAATACGGAAAATAGAGTATCTTCAAAGTATATTGAAAATAAAGATACAGAAATGAATCTACAGTCTAAGCTACGGTCATCTTCCTTCTTAAAGGAAAACACAGGTGATAACATTTGTTTTGTGGGAGTAAATGTAGCTTCCAAATGAGCCCTCCTGCATGACCTTTGGGATATTGACAACTCTATAGGTCTGGAGCGGGTCAAAGGAACCAGTAATTTTTGAAATTCATGTACCACATGATTCTGATATGCAGTCCGGTATGGCATCCATGGTATACGTTATATAAAATGATAATGATGAGGTATTAAATTTTAAAATGAATTAAAATATCTATGAAAGCATTAGGTTCCATTCATTCAACAATGGTTTATTGAGTGCCAGGACTGTTTTAGAAGCTGTGGATACAATAGTTGGCAAATAGACAAGGTCCTTACTTTTATGAAGTTCACATTCTTGTAGGAGATAGTCAACTATTAAAAATAAATAATAAAAAATAAGGCTGTGACATGTTGTGGGGGCTGCTATTATAGAAATAAATGGCACCTAGGGGAGGACTATCTTAGCTCTAGGGATCAGAAAATTTCCCTTGATGCTCAGTGTTCGTGAATTGAAGGAGACCATTCCTGTGACATCACATGAAGTCCTTAATTCCTTATTATGACCTTCCCCTGATGACATCAGTGTGATGAGTCTGAGCAGGCTGGGTACCCACTGGAAGATCAGGGTGGCTGTGAGCTGAATGGAGAATGTAAATGAAACAGAAGCAGGTAGATGGCCTGAAGAGCCCAGCCATTCTAGGAAGGACCGGTATCCCTTTCCAGGGTAGCATTTTTTTTGTTAAGTCAGGAGTTTGCTTTAGAGTGGGGAGTTTTTATCAGCTTTTCCTTTTTTTTTTTTTTGGCCTGGGTTTTCTTAACATTGTCCTCTCTTGAGCTCTCCTGGATTTCCTCATTTTCTTTCTAACAAGTGTTTCTACATGATTTGGAGTAGCTAATGGCCAAACTCCCATGTCACAAGACTTCCCGACCCTCAAAATCTTCCATAAAAGCGAGGTGTCACACAAGCTCAGTTTGAAACTGTGTAAGACATCGGTAGAGCCAGAACAGTTGACAAGCTCACTCAGTAGTCTTTCCCAAAGAGATAATTTTTGGAAACACACAGTAAACTTTAAAAAAAAAAATTAGTTTAATGGTACTGTATTTCCGTATGTGTCGGAAAAAAGTAAGACATGGTTACAAATATGGACTTGAGCCACACTGACTGCCAGATCTGCCACTTGAATTTACTAGTGTGAAGTCGGGTAGGTTATTTAACTCTCTGTCCCTCAGTTTCATCTGTGAACAGGGTGACAATAGTATACACCTCATTGAGATGTTGAGAGAATTAGAGTTAACATATGTAATGTTCGGAAGAGTAATGGTATATAGTTTGTTAAGATTATTGTATGTTACTTTTATTCATACATATATCAGTTTCATGGATGGTAATATGATCTGATAAAATCTATATGTTAAAGTAGATTAAGGAAAAATATTGAGTAAATAGTATAGGTGATACTCATATATGACAAAATGAATGAAGATAGTGTAAGAATTAAACTATTGGAAAATGTTCCAATAGATTGTATCATGGAGATTTTACTTCTTAAATATTTCTCTAATCTGTCCTTCCTCTCCATCCCTATTTTACCAGTGCCCTATCATTAATCATCTCTCTCACCTGGACTTTTTAAAGAGACCTCTAGCCTCTCTCCTTGCTCTTTTTTTTTTTTCAGTCTCCCCTCAACTATACTGTCCACCCTGCTAGCCAACTGTTACTTCAGAAATGCAGAATTGATCATACTTGTTTTCCTACTCAAAATCCTTTATTAGTAGCCCCTTTATTCTTAGGATATGGTCCTAACTCCAAGGCTTCTGGTCCATAAGACCCCATGATCTACCTACCCTTCCAGACACATCTGTCACCATTGCAGTCTCAACCTTGACCCTCAAGCAGCGTCAAAGTGCTTTGTCGCACCACACGCATTCTTGTTTCTGCATTGGCTCATGTTGTCCTCTCTCTTTGGAAAAACTGATCCACTCAGACTGGACAATTCCTGACTACTCTCCAGAGTGGCAGGGGGCCCTCCTTTGTGCGCTCATTTACCTAGCACATGTCTGTCACCATACTTCCATACTGTTTTATAGCTATCCAGTATGTTTCTGACTCCCCACTTAGAGTGTGAATGAGTACCTGAGGTCAAGAACTGTTCATTTTTGTGTTCCTATGACTCCTCATAGTGCTGGGCACTGAATGGGGTAGTCATTAGTGCTTATTTTTATTTTTCAGTCATCTGTGTTTGGTCATAACTCCTGTGTCTTGACATTAAGAAAAATCATTAATAATGTTCTGTAGCCTCTGGTTATATCTAGAATACTTGACATGTCTCTTCCTAAGTTGTGTGTGTGTGTAGAAAAAGAAAGAACTTTATTCTCAAGTATCCAAGCAGTGACCTGACCTGCCTAAGAATTATTTACTGTTCAGCTTCTCCAGTCTTATTTTAGTCTCCAGGCTTTACTTCATACTTACTTTCCTATAAGAACAGTTTAGGAAATGTATTTCCTGAGGTAGAATAGCATTAATTTCTTTTTTCTTGAAATCACTATATTTTTTAATAAACAAATTGTTTTCCATATATTAAAATTTCAAGCACCAAACAATTAACACTAACATTAATTCAATGTTATTGGTTTGGATTTTTTCCTCATGGTAGTTTTATTACTTTTTTTGGAAATGGAAATCACATAAGTTCATTGTGGTGCTATTTAGTCATGAAAAAAATAGACTCTAGGAAACCATAGAGTAAACATGTACATTTGTTACATTTTAATTTAGGAGTAACCATTTTTAATGCTTGAACTTTTCAATATTTATTGATTAAATTATGTATATTTTAGGTCAAGTGAGCAAAGATGCAGTCCTTGCAGAGCAGGAGAAAAATAACAAACATTGCCTTCAGGATATTGATGATAAGTTGTCTGAATCAACAGACGATGATGGTGAAGATGATACCAATGATGAAGATAATGATGAAGACAGTAACCCTAATAAGGATACTCATGCCCCATTAGAATTAATGGCAGAAGTAAGTTTAACTTGCGTGTTGTAATTTAAGAAACTTAAAAATATTAAAATTACTAAATAGTGTAAAGCCTTGAAGATTTAAAAAATAGTAAAGAGATCCTTGCCCATATACAGATGCTCACCTAGCTACTCATCTCTCTCACTACCTTCATGAGGTTAGAGGTGAGAGAAGATTCTGGAAGTGACTTACAGTATTCTGGTAAAGGCAAAAGCAGGAATCAAAGAAGTTTTGGCATAAAACTCTGCAAGGACTGCTTTAAGGAATGCTTTCTACATAACTGGGCACCATGCTAGTTTTGGGGGATATTTAGAGGTAAATAAGAAAGATAGGTCCTTACCCTGAGAACTAACAATTACATATTATGTATATAGTACAATTTATAATAAGATGAAATGTGTGCCAGCAGAAGTATTTATGAGGTTCTCTGGGAATAAGGAGGATTAAGTGACTAATTGAGAATAGAAGTAGGAGAAATGGGAAAAAGGAAGAATTTTTAGAGGAAGAGACATGGAGTCTTAGAATCTTGAAGGAAGAGGGAAGCTCAGGAATTCATCTGATAAACAAGTGGAGAAGGCATTCCTTGCATAGGAAACAATATATACAAAGGCACTGAAGCCTGAAAGATCACATGCAAAAATTATACATAAACACTTACTGATAATTCTATGGAGAGCAAAACAGTTTTACCCCACTTGTGGTGTCACAGTTAACATTATACAACTTCACATATATTGTAAGAACTTCATAACAGTACATTTTAACTTCCGCCTTCTTATCCTTTGTATTATTGTCATACATTTTACTTCCATATATACTGTAAGCCCTATAATACACTGTTATTATTTTTATTTTTAATGGTCAATCTTTTAAGTTTTTTTTAATTGGGAAATATCTTTTTTTGAAATACATTTCTGGTGTTCTCTGTAGCTTTGTGTAGATCTGAATTTTCACCTGATATTATTTTCCTTTTACCTGAAAAACTTGCTATAGCATTTTTTCATAATGCAGTTCTGCCAGCGGTGAATACTCTCAGCTTTTGTCTATCTGAAAAAGTCCTAATTTTATCTTCATTTTTAAAGGATGCGTGAGCTAGAGATTTGTAGGTTGCCAGGTATTTTTCAGTACAGACGGTCCCTGACTTATATGGTTCAACTTAGAATTTTTTGACTTTACACTTATGTGAAAATGATACACATTCAGTAGAAACTGAATTTTGAATTTTTATTTCTTCCTTGGCTAGCAATGTGTGGTATGATTGCTCTCTCATGATGCTGGGCAGCTGTAACTCCCTGCCAACCATGCCATCATGAGGATAAACAAGTGATACACTTACAACCATTATGTTTTTCACTTTTACAGGATTCAATAAATTACATGAGATATTCAATACTTTATTATAAAATAGATGATTTTGCCCTAATGTAAGTGTTCTGAGCATGTTTAAGGTAGGCTAGGCTAAGCTATGATTTTTGTAGGTTAGGTGTATTAAATGAATATTTCAACTTATGATGCATTTATTGAGATATAACCCCATCGTAAGTTGAGGAAGATCTGTACTTTGAAAGGTTGCTTCATTGTCAAATAGTTTCCATAGTTCCAGACAAGGTGTCTGCTGTTACTACTTTTGACCACCTGTATATGTCTTTTTTCTAAGACTTTAAAGTTTTTTTCTTTTGTATTTTTATTTTTGGCAAATTGATTTTGATATACCTTGATGTGGTATTCTTCATGTTGCTTCTGTTCATTGAGATTCTTGGATCTATGAGTTTGTAGTTTACACCAGATTTGGAAAATGTTATTAAGTCTTCAAATAATTTTTTTTGACCTCTGCTCTCCCTCTCTTCTTCTGGGCTACAAGTTACATGTATGTTAGACCACCCAATGTTGATCCAAAGGTCACTGATGTTCCTTTTTTGTTTGTTTTCTCTATTTATTTCATTTTAGAAATTTCTACTGTTCTGTCTTCAAGTTCTGATCTTTTCTTTGTAGTTATAATCTGCTGTTAATCCCATCCTCCCTGCCTTCCTCTCTCTCTTTTTCTCTCTCCATATTTGTGTACATATATAAAATTTCATATATTTTATCATCTGTACAGGTTTTATTTAAATATTTTTATATCTATTCTCTCCTCATGTTCATATTTTACTTTTGAGCATATGACATATTTATAATAGCTATTTTAACATGCTTGTCTGCTGTGCTATCATTTTTGTAATTCTGGGTCAGCACCAGTGTATGGGTCATATTTTTCTGCATCTTTGCATGCCTGGTAATTTTTTACTGAATCCTAGACATTATAAATTTTATGTTCTTTGATACAAGTTTTGTTGTTTTCATTTAAATATTTTTGGATTTTCATCTGGGATATAGTTGAGTTTCTTGGAAGCAGGTTTCTCTTTTGGAGTCTTGATTTTTAAGCTTTGTTGGGAGGGTCCAGAGCAGCCTTTACATTGTAGGGAGACTACATATATGTAGTCTAAGGCAGTTCCCTAATGAGGACTCTTCCCAGTGCTCTGTGTATTAAGAGGACCTTCCACTCTGGCTGGAGAAAGCATGAGCTCTGTTCAGACCCTGTGTGAGATCCAGTGATTGTTCTCCCTAATCATTCCAACAGTTCTTTCCTAGCCTTAGTTAGTTTCTGCATACTCATGCAGATGAATTCCAGCCAAAGACTCAAAAACACACCTCTGCAGATTGCTGGAGCTCTCTGGAAAATATAACATTGGCCTCTCTGAACTTCAGACTGTCTTATTTCAACTCAGATCACTGGTCTCTGGATGCTCCCTCTCTGTGCTGGTACCTGGAGACAGCCCACAGCTGTAAACTGAGGCAGTCATAGGACCCACCTTTTTCCCTTCTCTCAGATCATTCTCCTATGACACCTGCTGTCAATTACTGAAAACTCTTGTTTCATATATTTTGTACAATTTTCTGGTTGTTTTAGGAAGGAGAGTAAATCTGGTCTCTGTTAACTTCATCATGGGTAGAAGCCTCGATTAGAGTTTTAACATAAAGAAAATACTAATGTGCTTGCCTTTTATATAATTTAACCCAAATGCCAGCCATATAAAGAAATCAGACACATTTACTGTATTTTCCTCCTAGAATAAAGCATATATAGTTTTGAAACTATCTTAGTATTATAAGTTGCTTTTACCAAGGGAGAAAAAAATTGATGCCAAGTATTGGAAAGATTTTACTTAGCCACATTTCCTTTGATTGAACATCTAAATCATTCATGAATCATAGAGCATTCAAAGACCCTATTTGCCATAACCAAACTCTTTGGAGTTGTTCGTTTTATTTCTTCTCTATTTGTTTTTTGACATTTAATTATAAAAGTAATCCATGACTTCATTTTCAGGTAAATATTCAGACAGTATGAGATTGCTGATGTTCAGATCTTACTATACCTGTGCTTAAGCTCTTTGGTTTTCAGAATGCATCCCTTTTTCATTTCTCAATTTATAATTTTTTTTAATTTTTTTAAGATTTATTTATTTGAGGGGCCCCTGGGTGGCTCAGTCGTTAAGCGTCTGGCTTCGGCTCAGGTCATGATCCTGGGGTCCTGGGATCGAGCCCCACATCGGGCTCCCTGCTCAGCAGGAAGCCTGCTTCTCCCTCTCCCACTCCCCCTGCTCGTGTTCCCTCTCTTGCTGTGTCTCTCTGTCAAATAAATAAATAAGATCTTAAAAAGAAAAAAAGATTTATTTATTTGAGGGGGTGTGCAGAGAGAGAGAATCTCAAGCAGACTCCCTGCTGATCTTGGAGCCTGGTGTAGGGCTTGATTTCATGATGCATGAGTTCATGACCTGAGCTGAAATCAAGAGATGGATCCTTACTGAACTGACTCAGCCACCCAGGTGCCCTCAACTTTTTATTTTAAAATTTTCAAACCTATAGAAAACTTGAAAGATTAGACACAAACCAAGAAACAAACTCTTAACTGTAGAGAATAAACTGATGATTACCAGAGGGGTGATGGGTGGGAGTATGGGTGAAAGAGGGGTTGGGGATTAAGGAGTGCACTTGTGATGAGCAGTAGGTGATGTATGGAATTGTTGAAGTGCTAAATTCACCTGAAACGAATATAACGCTGTATATTATCTGTGATGGAATTAAAAAAAAAATAAAGGTGGTTAACAACTAAAATCAAAACATGAATTTTCATGGAATCCTGACTAGAAAAAAATCCAGCTGTAAAAACATTTTAAAGACAAATTGGGAAGTCTCAATTTAAATGTAATATTTTATTACAGAATTATTGTTAATTTTCTTAGATATGTTAAGGATATGATGTTACATTGAAGGATAAACTTAGGAGACCCATGCTTGAATATTTCAGGGTGAAGTTTAACAATGTCTGCAACTTACTTTCAAATGTTTCTGTGGAAAATATATATGTAGGCTATATCTACATCTTATCTATCAAAAGAGAGAGATAAAGCAAATGTAGCACAATGTTAAGAAGCATTGAATCTAGGTAAAATGTATACATGTATTCATTGTTACAATCTTTAAATTCTTCTTTTTTTTTATCATGATAAGTGTACTCTTTAGTCCAGAATATTCCATCGTATATATATATACCACATCTTCTTTATCCATTTATCTATCAGTGAACACTTGGGCTGCTTCCATAATTTGGCTATTGTAAATAATGCTGCAATAAACATAAGGGTGCATGTATCCCTTTGAATTAGTGTTTTTGTATTGGGGGGGGGCAAATACCCAGTAGTGCAATTACTGGATCGTAAGGTGGTTCTATTTTTAACTTTTTGAGGAACCTCCATACTGTTTTCCAGTGGCAGCACCAGTTTGCATTCCCACCAACAGTGCAAGAGGGTTCCTTTTTCTCCATACACTTGCTGTTTCTTGTGTTTTTTATCATTCCAACACGTGTGAAGTGATATTTGTAGTTATGATTTGCAATTTGCATCATCGGGATGATGAGTGATATTGAGCATTTTTTCATGTGTCTCTTGGTCATCTGAATGTCTTCTTGGGAGAAATGTCTGTTCATGTCCTGCCCATTTTTAATTGGATTATTTGGTTTTTGGGTGTTGAGTTGTATAAGTTCTTTATTACATTTTGGATACTAACCCTTTATCAGATTTGTCATTTGCAAATATCTTCTTCCATTCAGTAGGTTACCTTTCAGTTTTGTTGATTGCTTCCTTTGCTGTGCAGAAACTTTGTATTTTGTTGTAGTCCCAGTAGTTTATTTTTTGCTTTTGTTTCCCTTTGCTCAGGAGACATATCTAGAAAAATGTTGCTATGGCTGATGTCAGAGACATTATTGCCTGTGTTCTCTTCTAGGATTTTTATGGTTTCAGGCCTCATATTTAGGTCTTTAATCCATTTTAAGTTTATTTTTGTGTATGGTGGTCCAGTTTCATTCTTTTACATGTATCTGACCAGTTTTCCCAATGCCATTTGTTGAAGAGACTGTCTTTTTCCCATGGGATAGTCTTTCCTGCTTTGTTGAAGATTAATTGACCATATAATTGTGGGTTTAGTTCCTGGTTTTCTATTCTGTTCTGTTAGTCTATGTGTCTGTTTTTTGTGCCAGTACCATACCGTTTTGATTACCATAGCTTTGTAATATAATTTGAAGTCTGGAATTATACCTCTAGCTTTGCTTTTCTTTTTCAAGATTGCTTTGGCTATTCGGGGTTTCCACAGGTGGTTGTGTATTTCTGATGAGGGGCAGGGGAGGGAAATGGAGCCTGCCAGCTCCTCTGTTCCTGGAGAAGTTCTTCTGCAAACTCTGAGCTCGGTAACTAAATCTCCCTCCCATAAGCCCCAGACGCCTTTCAAACTGCTGTTTCCAAGCCTATCTCTGCAGGCTCTTTGCTGTACTGTCTCTTTAATGGTAGGTGCTCAGCTTCCTATTGCCCTCTGGGCTCTCCCAGAGCCAAGCCTGCTGATTTTTAAAGTTCCAGGCTTTAAGTACCGATGGTTGTAAGCACTCACCAATTTCAGCCCCTCTGATTTTCAAAGCCAAATGCTATGGGGATTCCTCTTCCCCTTGCAGGCTCCCCCATGTGATAGTCTTGTTTCTCACCCCTCTTCATGCCCGTGGCTCCCTCCCTCCCGTGTTCAGATCCATGGAGTTTGAGTTCCCACTGAGTCCTTGCCTTTTCTATCTTCTTCGATGTGGCTCTTCTCTACGTCCAGTTGTGGAGTTTGTTTGGCCAGTCTTAGGGTCATTATCTCTGTTGTTTGCAGGGATGAGTGTTACCTAGTTGTATTCATGGGATGAAGTGAGTGTAAGGACCTCCTACTCTGCCATCTTCTCTGAAAGTCCCAACTCTTTATTTTGAATTCACAAATAATTTAAAACCAATTTGTTTAAGCCTCTCTTCTCATTTAACTTTAGCTTGACTTTGAAGTTTTAAGCAATTCTCATGAAAGTCTTTAGCCAAATATCCATTGCATGAATTTAATTTCACTGCAGTTTGAACTGTTGAAATATGTATATTTTTGTTAACACACACACCCAAAAATAGGTCAATGCAAAGGACACTTATTGATTCCATGTTCCTTGTCATTTTCTGAGGCTAGTATTATTAATATGATGCTTTGTTAAATAGACTAGATCTTAGTTGATATTGAGAAATTCTTGTTAATTTTGTTAGGTGTACTAGTCATAGTGTAATTGGGTTTTTAATTTAAAGTGAAATGAGATGATATCTGTAAAAGTCTTTAAAATAATCTAGGCAAAATAATAATAATAATAAATAATCTAGGCAGTGGAGAAAAGTGTGTGGTGATATTGATAAAATCAGATTGGCAAAATATTAATTTTTGAAGGTGAGAATTGGGGCTATGTACTTCTTTTACTATTTTTTCTACATCTGTGTATATTTAAATTTTCCATAAAGATTTAAAAACAAACAGTAGCTGTATATTATACTGGTCATATTCTCTGACTCTGATCAATTAAACTACACATTGAAAACAAAAATGACTACAATAACAAAACTACTTAAAACTAAAAGATATTCTTCTAGATGACGCTTGAATTAAAAATCAAAATCAAAACTAAACACACAAACTATTTAGGAAATAGTGATAACTACAACACCAAATTTTGAAACTTTATAAAAAAGCTCAAAGTTTCAAATGCTTTGATGATGATGATGATGATTAAAGGAGGAATGACAACAAATGAACTAAATATTAATGCCAGAGCCTAGAAAAAGAACAAAATAAACATAATGTAAATAAGAAAAAGAATTCAATAAAATTCAAAGTAAAAACCAAATTAGTATATCTGTTTGAGAGCAGGATATTTGAAAAAAGAATGACATAGATAAACCACAAGATGTCGTAATTAAAATGGAAGGAAACCACAAATAGTAGTAAAAATGGACAGATCTTAACCTTAGACAAAAAGATTTTAAAAATATAAGAGAATTCTATTTAATGAGTTTAATATAGCATTTATTAATAATATGGCAGTAAGTGGGGATTGTGGTGAAAGTAATGGCTTATAGAAAAATCTTCAGAAGAATTCTTTTTACTTTAGAAAAATGTAAATAATCTAATACTCATGGAAGAAACCGAGAAAACTGGTAGAGAACTTCGTAAAATGGTATCTGGGTATGTATCACATGTCTGGAAACATGTGGGAAGTGTCTTTTCTAATACGCCATGCCCCTGTCTCTTGCCCAATAAGCCTAGTGTGCCTGCCTGGGTTCAGAATATGTCTCACACAAGCAATAGCAACCATCCAAGTGTAGGGTTATTTTTTAATGGAAGCAGTCTAAATAAGTTAGAATAGGAGATTAGTAAACTGTAGCCTAAGTAAAAAATATAAGCATATTTAATTTTATGGGGGAAAAAGATCATGATATGTGGTTTATTTTTAAAAAGTTACTGAGTAATCTTAGTTTTTGTAAATATATGTTCATTGATGGAAAAACACTAAAACAATACACATGAAGATGCTAAAAATAAACATCTCTGGATGGTAGAAATGTAAATGCTTTTTAATTGGGGACAGAATGTGTTTATTTAGCTTTTAAATTTCCTACATACAAAAATATGTACTACTTTGTAACAATAAAAATAGAATAAAATAGCAAAACAAAAACTAGATGGTATAAGAGCTGGAAAATATTAAATATACATCATTGTAAATCTACATTTTTTTAAACTTAACATTGTCATGTAATCATGGATGAAGTTTATGAATAAAAGTGTCTGAATCAAAGGGATATTAAAGTGATTAATGTCTTTATTATCTCTGCCAGTTGAATCAACCTATTTATTCTCAAGTTGTTAAGTGGTAGATATGTAGTATGGCTGCAGCAACATGGAGGTATCATACTTGTTCTCTGTTGCCTTGCCATGGGAAGTCCTTAAATAATAGATTGATTGATTATAGACTCACTCCTGGAAAAACATGTAAATGTTAAAAGCCAAATAGTTCATCATTAATGGAATATTTTTTAGGGAGTTTATAATTGACATTTAAATTCTCTCTGGGGAAAGTACTTATCTGAAGAATTTCTTAATGTTTTCCAGTTCCTGAGAGCAGAAATGGGCCAAGACTACCATTTGGCAAAAAAATTATGTCAGATGAGTAAGTGCAAAATACTTTTCTGTTTTCTAATTTTTCTTTGTTTCTGCATGCATTCCATAATATGTAAGATGGTCTGATTATTAGAGCTGAGTGAATTCCCTGATAGTGTCTCAGTGATTCCTTATTAATAAGTTAAGTTGATTGGTATAAAGACTAATTTAGACTTCTAGAATAACTGAGTGGGATAAACTAACAAAAACTAATCGTCACTGGAAAATAAGTCAAAATCTTTACCTTACAGATAATGGGTTAGTAACTTTATGCCTTTAGTTTCAAAGAAGTGCCAGGGAGTGCAGCAAACCTTCTTAACATGCATTTCACAATATTTGAGTGCCTACATGTGCCAGGCACTGTTTTAGGCACTGGAAATACAGCAGTCAATAAGACAGATAATCCCACATTTGTATCTAGTATCCAGCAGATAACAAATTCATATATAATTAGCCTGTCATAAATGATAGGTGCTATGGAGAAAAATAAAGTAGGGAAGAAGGAAGAGAAAGTACTAGAAAGAGGCAAAGCAGTTTTTAATAGGATGGTCCAGGAAGGCAGGGTTCATAGCAAATGTACCCAGATGTGAGTGTGCCTGAGGAGGAACAGCAAGGAGGACAATGTAACCAGAGTAGAATATGCAAGGGGAAGTGTGACAGGGGATGAGGTCAGAGAGGTTATGGTTTGGAGGTTCTGTAGATTGCATAGTACCTTTTCACAATTTAAGGACTTTGGCTTTTTGTCTGAGCAAGGTGGGAAATCATTGGATGCTTTTGAGTAGAGGAATGATCTCATCTACCTTATTTTTCTTTTTCTTTGAAATTTTTAGTGATTTGGCTGATGTATCTTATACTCAGCTCTTGTTTTTCCATTTCTTTTTATTTCTATCCTTCATTTTGGAATTTTTCTATTGACCTACCTGTTTTTGAGTTAACCTGTCCTATCTTCTGCTGTGTTCAATCTGCTGTTTAAACTATCTAGTGACAGTTGGTTAAGCGTCTGCCTTTGGCTCAGGTCATGAGCCCAGGGTCCTGGGATCAAGCCCCGCATCGGGCTCCCTGCTCAGCAGGAAGCCTGCTTCTCCCTCTCCCACTCCCCCTGCTTGTGTTCCCTCTCTCCCCCTCTCTCTCTCTGTCAAATAAATAAATAAAAATCTAATATATATATATACATCATATATATATATAAAATACGTTAGTCATAATTATTTTGAAAGAGAAAATGGCAACTCTATAATTAAACTTTATTGATAATAGGACTCAAAATATTAGCTAGTGTTAGACCTAAGTCTTACAGTGAAAGTCCTTCGATGAAAATGTGGTATAGGGCTCGTGAGGGGCTACTCTTACTTGCCTCACACAGACTCTCCACTATGGATGCCGTACTTCTTAAATCATTGGCTGATTTTTAAAAGGGGTTTCTTGAATGCTTTTATCCTACTTATTTTTTATCCAAAATAATTTGCCTTGTGTAATCCTTTCAAGCACTTTGACCTTTAGAGCCATCAAATAAATATTTGGATTAAAACTATTTGGGGGTGGTAAACAAATATACAATTACTGATCAGAAGGAATCCTTCCAGAGAACCATGTCCAGTTGTCTATTTTTGTAAATAAGGAAGCAGAAGCAGAGAGGATAGCCGCTTGCTCAGCACTCTTCGAGGCGCTAGCGGCACAGCCAGAACCCGAACTCAAGCTGCCACCTCCCACAGCACCTTTCCTTTTTGAGGACTGCTGTGGAAGGGAGTGAGTCCGCAGCTTTCCCTCTCAGTTCTCAGAGTCTCTTGTGGAGCCTAGTGATGGGAACATGTATATATTATATTTCCATATCCATCAGTCATTTTAGAAAGCCTCTGGCTGAAGCTTACAAAATATATGCCCTGACATCACCACATCTGTCAGTCAGTTTTGGCTTTTAGCCCTGCAGTATGCTACATAAACAGTAGGTGCTCAGTAAAATGCTTACTGATTTGACGCAAACCAGTGAACACACATTAAGTGCCAGGTCAGTGGGGATGAAAAAGTTCAAGCTGATCTATCCTAATGGGGTTATGTCCCTGTAAAACATCTCCCTCCCTCCCTCCTTCCCTCCTTCCCTCCCTCCCTCCCTCCCTCCCTCCCTCCCTCCCTCCCTTCTTTCCTCCCTTCCTTCCTTCCAACAACTACATACCAAGCTCCAGCTCTGTACCAGACATTATGCTGGGAGCTGGAGAGAAAGCAGGAATCCTAGCACACATGCTCTAAACCATTTTGGGTTTGACATTAACTATGGTTTGGTTTAGTTTTTACCCCTACTGGCTCATCCAGAAATACTAGTCACTCTTTTCTGTAAGTGTCAAATAGCAGTGCCTCAAACTCAGGATTAGACTATAGGAAAGGAGGTGTGGAGAGCCCTAAGACAGGCCCCATGATCCAGGGAGCCAGTTGGGAAAGAACGCTGCTCCCAGGAGGAAGGGGAATGACTGGAAACTTGGGCAGAGAGGCCCAGGGATGGGAGTGGGGTCTGGGTGCATGCAAAATAGGATTGGCTACCCCTGAGGCAGATTCCAGCCAACTGTATGAAATTAGGGAGACCCAGGACTAGCAATGTCAAACAAGTTCAAGTTCAAGAAAGAACAGAGAGTTGGAGGCGCTGTCTCAGGGAGGAGAAAGTACTGGTTTGATGCTAATAGGAAACACTTGGCTGAGGACTGCCCAAAGTTCCTCTCTGTATTCAGAACAACAGACAAAGTGAATTTTTTTCATCTAGGATGGACCCCAAAATATTTTATATGTAAGTGTTTACAGTATATTGTTTTGTCTTTTTTTTCTATCTTCTAGCTCTTCTACAGAACACTTCCCCTTTTCTCTCTATATATATTTGTATATTTATGTATGTAAACAGATTATTTACACGTTTATATATTTATATATGTATGTATTGACCACCTACTAATAATGGGAGGATTCTTGAATACCTTGTTTAATTCTTAAAACAATTCTATGAGGCAGATATTATGAACCCCACTTTACAGATGAGGAAACTGAGTCTTAGCAAGGAATACTAATTCACCAAATTCACAGAACTACTAAGAGGTAGAGTTAGGATTAGATCCTAGGTCTGGCTTGAAAGCCTCTGATGTCCGGCTATATTTCCATTTCCTCATTTGATTAATAAACATATTTCTGTGGGCACCTGGGTGGCTCAGTCGTTAAGCGTCTGCCTTCGGCTCAGGTCATGATCCCACGGTCCTGGGATCGAGCCCCACATCGGGCTCCCTGCTCCGCAGGAAGCCTGCTTCTCCCTCTCCCATTCCCCCTGCTTGTGTTCCCTCTCTCGCTGTGTTTCTCTCTGTCAAATAAATAAATAAAATCATTTTAAAAAATAAAAAATAAACATATTTCTGGTCAAGAAGGCAGGGACTTGGAAAGGGGGTAATTTTATGGGTCAGTCAGGCTTAAAATGGTTCCTGTGGTCAACTAGTATATTTTCTTTGTATCAAAGGCAATTAATTTATATAAAATAATGCATCCTTGTCCCTTTTAAAATGTTTTATAAACTCATTTTCTGAATAAAGCCGCTGGTTGCTAATGTTTCCTTGCTGTCCAGTCACAGTAAAGTCATTTATATCTCCATTGGGCTTCAGGGGTTCCCGCCTGGCAGTCCACATGCCTACGGTTTCTTTTCTCTTTGTCCTGACTTAAAAAAATTTGTTTTGGGTTCCCCCAAGAAATTTTATTTGTCAGTGAAGGCTTGAATTTTATCTGTCTTCCACACACAATTTTTATATGTGCCCAGGATTTCATCTGCTGTTTTCCTGCTATGTTGTACAGAACTGATATCTCAGCTGTATGCCATTTCTTGCCAGGCATTGGAGGCATCCTGGAAGGGTGGTTTTTATATTAGGCTGACAGTCAAGAGTTCCAACTACTTTTCTTAGTTCAGCTCATAATTGACGATGACATTTTGTGCCAATCTTTCTGTTTATTGGTCTCTTTACCTGTAAGAAGGGAACCTGCTGCTCACTCTCCTCAGAGCACAGCAGTGCTGCTCACAGGCAGCCCAACATTTTACACCAACCATTTAGGCCTGGAAGACCTACTTCATCAATTATAATTGTAAGTGTTTAAAAATAATGGTCTCAAAACCAAAATGTTTCTCATCACTTTGGTCTAACAAAATACAGATAGATGTATTTTCAGAAAGGATAGTTACAATGAAGTTTCCTTCCTTCCTTTTTTTTTTTTTTTAAGATTTTATTTGTTTTTTTTGTCAGAAAGCCCACAAACAGAGGGAGTGGCAGGCAGAGGGAGAAGGAGGCTCCTCCCTGAGCAGGGAGCCCTATGTGGGACTCCGATCCCAGGACTCTGGCAGACGCTTAACCAACTGAGCCACCCAGGCATCCCATCTTTCTTTTTTTGGGTAAAATAAATCACTTTTTCCTATTAACCTACAGTATAATTTTATCTAGGCATAAAAGGACTGCTTTCTACTATTCACTTATTCCATTTTTTAATGTTTTGAGGGCTCCAACTCTGTGTCAGGCACTCTCCTAGGCATGCAACAGTGAAAAAGACCAATGTTCTGTCTACCCTAGACTAGCCTCCAGTCTGAGGGACTTAGAGCCCTACGGGCAGCAGAATCCCCTGGCTCCTGCCCCAGCTCTTTAGCCAGAAGGAAACATCCACTGAATGTTTAGGAAGGAGCCAAGTCTTTCTCTAGGTCCAAAACCATTTCCGGAAAACTCACCGTGCACCAAGGACTGGATTAAGTGCTTTATCTACATGATCTCATTGATTCATCAAAACAGCCTAATGTGGCCAATAGTGTTATTACAGATAAGGAAACCGAGATACATAGATATTAAATATTTTCCCCAAGGAGACCCAACTAGACAGTGGCAGAACCAGGATTCACATCTGAGTCTTTCTTCAGGGCCCATACTGGGATCTGCTTATGGGCTCAGGTTGGGAACAACTCCCAGACCCTAACTGAGTGTGCTAGAGACTTTTCTTATCCTTTTACAAACCCTACTAGCCTGTGAAAGAGTAAGGAGAATTTTATATTCATCACCTAGAATACATATTTCTGGGCTAAGTTTCAAAGCAGATACCTTTCCCTCACTTTGAAAATTGACATTTGCCAATGGTTTTTGTTAAACCAGAAGAGCAGCTGATTCTACACTCCAGTCCCATGGAATAATCCTAATTCCAACATGAAATTTTCTAAACTGTATTTAAGATTGCTTATTAAGTGTTACGTCAAAAAGGATTCCATGGGAATAATAAGTTGGGGAAACCACATTCTCCAATCTATAAGATTCATAATAGTTATGAGCATATTAGTGGTTCTGTAAAATCCTACAGTTGTTCCTATTGTAAACTTTCCCTGATTAACCTCATTTGACCTAGTTTCCCAAATATGTATTAACATCTTAAGAACCTAGTATCTCAAGGGGCGAGTTAGAGAAACTGCTCTAAGAAGAGGCTCGGAGAAAGATTTAGACTGCTAATGATAAGTATATTTGAGTCCAACTTAAAATGAATTAAAAGATACTTTTATTAGAAACCTTAAAAGGTGTCTAAATACCTATAGGATCCTTAAAAGCAGCTTCTGAGCAGGTACACAGTCATGCTAACCCAGATAGATAGTAAATTGTTATGTACGTAGATTAGGAAAGAGAGACACTGGTTTGGTGTGTCAGGATGCAAGCCATATGGGATGATGTCCTGTAAGCCCCGGAGTCTAGTTAAACCATCCACAATTTGTCTTACTCTTAGTCAGGTGAACGGCACACTTGATGTTTCAGTGCCCCCTAGGGGTCATCAAGATATTACATGGGAGTCACAACATTAAAAGGATAAAGCAGAATTATGAATACTCCTCAAGGCGCACAGTGTTCTCATTAGCGAAGCCTCCACATTTTGCAGGATATGTCCCTTGTTTGGTTATAGTCAAAAAACACTTTGGCTACAAGGCCTGTGGGGAAAGCCTCATAGTGATGGAGATTGCATTCTTTAGACAGGAGGTAGAAAATATAATGAGAATTATTTCTCTTACAGTGCACCTACGATAAGTAGATCATTTTCTCTATTTGCACTTAGGTATTCCTGTGGAATAATTGTTGGTATTTATTGGCTTGTGCATTTTCACTTACTCTGATTGGCAGTTCCAGTCTCATTCTGAGGAACCTGTTTGCTGAAAACACTTTGAAGATTAGTAACAAAACTTCTGTTGTCTATTTTCAGTCCTAATCTATGAACCAGAAAATCCTGAGGCCAAGGAGTTTTTCTCACTTATTGAAGAAATGTTGCTGATGGGTAAATTTAAAAATTGAAATTCCTTCTTTCTCACAGAACTATGAGCAGTCACTATTTAAAAACCCATTATCCCAGGAGATTGGTGAAGTCCACCCTCAGGAAGTGGTTAAGAAAAGGCTAACTGGTTGTCTTTGGATGGTTTAATGAAACCAGCTTGGCCTTTGTGGGTGGTCAAGGTGAATCCCTTTTCTCCGTGGGGTTGTGGAACTGCCCAAGTGAAGCAGGTTTCCTGGACACCAGGCATCGGGCACTGACGGAGTCTTCACAGGGCACAGAACATGCTCATTGCCACACATGTTAGAGGAGCTATCCCACAATTCCAAGGAAAACCAGTACCCTCTAAATTACCCTGCATCGCACTCCTATTTAAGAATTATGGTAACAATAGTAAAAAATGTATATGTATTTTTATAGACCTATGTTTTAAATTTACTCTAAATCTGTAAACATCTTTATACCAGTAAGAATATAGTCTTCTTTGTACTACTACTTTGAATCCTACATATAGTCAGCAAAGTTTGGCTCAGTCCTCAGGTTCCAAAGATGGGTATTTCTTAGTGGCGGGGGAAGCAAGGAGAGTTACGATTTTTCAAAGAGTAGAAATATCAAGAACATTTTAAGCAATTCTCTTCCTTTCCGTGGCAGAGAAATCCCAAAATCTTGAGGAAGATGATGAAGATAGTGAAGAAGATAGTAGCGGTGAGAGTGAAGGAGAAAGCAGTGAGGAGCTAAGTGAAGAAAGCTCTGATGAATGTGAAGACGGGTGATGAAAGTTGCTGCTATGGTTCATTCTTCATGTATTTTCATTACTGTATACCATGGAAATATAAAGAACAATGCTGCATTTTAATCTGATTGTTTTTATTTGTCACACAGTTCTTACAATTTTTCCATATTGGTTTGAGCTCCTACTTAATGTTCAGGTCTTACCTCTATGTGAGTTACTCAGAGAGGAAATTAATAATGGAAAATACTTACATAGCACCAACCATGTACCAGGTACTGTTCGGCACATATTAGTTTATTTAATCCAACAAACCCACGAGGTTCAGCTTAAAACAACACAAATTTATTATCTTACAGTTCTGGAGGTCAGAAGACCAAAATGAGTGTCACTCAGCCAAAATCAGGGTGTCAGCAAGGCTGCACTCTTTTGGAGGCTCTAGGAGAAAATCTCTTTCCTTGCTTTTTCCAACTTCTAGAGCTTATGCACAGTCCTTGGCTCATGGCCCCTTCCTGCATCTTCAAAACCAGCAACATCTGGCTGAGCCCTTCTCATGTTGCCATCTCTCTAATCCTCTCTCCCCTGTGTTGTGATTTTTGTTAAATTAACATTTGTTAGGAAGAGCCCTGGTGTGTCAGATGGCAAGTGATGCTTCCACAAAGACCACAAGGGAAAGTAAAATAGGGAAGTTTATTACAGGTCCTGGGGGAGGTACATGGCATGCATCAGAGGGGCCACATAGGGAGGTCAAGATGCAGACAGAAAGTGGACAGCAGGACCTGGGGCATGCCTTTATTAGGGCCATGAGTGGGTGCTTTTGGGGTTCCCAGGCTAAGGCTGGATTGGCCAATTCAAACCAAAAAGATCAGGGTTTTGGTAAGCTCAGTGGGGGTCTTATCTAAGGGGTGCACAGGGGAAGCAGTTGGGAGGCAGAAGAGATTGTTTATCACCAGGGGCATTGGGGAAGTTATATCAGTTTACACTTGTGATCCTGTAGGCTATTATCTATGGGTGGTTATCTCATGAGCTTGAGAGAGAGGCTAGTGTGCTTAGGCACACAAAATGGATGCCAAGGCAGCAATAATATGGAATAGTTTAGCTAAACTCTCAACACCCTATCTCCTCCTTACGCTTTTAAAGATTTATTTGGGGGCCCCTGGGTGGCCTCAGTGGGGAAGCTGCTTGTCCCTCTCCCTCTGCCCTCCTGCTTGTGCTCTGTTTCTCTCTCAAATAAATAAATAAAATCTTAAAAAAAAAAAAGATTTATAGGGGAGGGGCAGAGGGAGAGAAGCAGACTCACTGCTAAGTGGAAAGCCAGACTAGGGGCTCAACATGGGGCTCGATCTCATGACCCTGAAATCATGACCCTGAGATCATAACCTGAGCTGAAATCAAGAGTCAGTTGCTAGGCCAAACTGAGCGATCCAGGCACCCCATCTTCCATTTTTATTTTGTTTTTTATTTTTTAAAAGATTTTATTTATTTGACAGAGAGTGAGAGAGGGAACACAAGCAATGGAGTGGGAGAAGGAGAAGCAGACTTCCCGCTGAGCAGGGAGCCCAATGCAGGGCTCAATCCCAGGACCCTGGGATCATGACCTGAGCCCAAGGCAGACGCTTAATGACTGAGCCACCCAGGTGCCCCATCTTCCATTTTCAAAGACACTTATGTCTGAATAATCCAGGATAATCTATAATCTTCCCTATTTTAGAGTCAGCTGATTAGCAACTTTAATTCAATCTGTAATCTTAATTGCCCTTTGCCATGTAACCTCACGTACTTATAGGTTCTGGGGATTAGGACATACACATCATTGAGAGTGGGGGGACATCATTCTTCCTACCATAGGAAGTATTGGGTAAGTATTCATATTTTCGAATTCATGGTATGGAGCTTGGAAGAAACACTTTGGTTGGAAATAGATGCCTTAATTAGGACTCATCAGTTTAGACTCAATTAGATAACACATAACAGAAGTATCTCTTTGATTAGAGATAGTAATCAAAGATAAGGAAGTGATGGCTCACAGAGAAAGTATAGTCTTTTTTTTTTCAAAGATTTTATTTATTTATTTGAGAGAGAGAGAGGGAAACGGCATGAGAGGAGATAGGGTCCGAGGGAGAAGCAGGTTCCCTGCTGAGCCGGGAGCCTGACGTGGGACTTGATCCCAGGACTCCGGGACCATGACCTGAGCCGAAGGCAGCCGCCCAACCAACTGAGCCACCCAGGTGTCTTTACAGAAGAGGACTGAAAATAAAAGTATCTTAAATGATAAAAAATTTAAGTGGTAATCTAAGAAAGAGAAGTGCACAAAGAGACAGAAGAACAGCCAGCAGGAAAATGAAGAAAGTGAATATAGTATGTACTATTGGTTGCCCACTCAGCATCTATCCCTCCCTGCATCTTTGCTAAGAGAGCTCTGATTCTGTTAGGATATTCACTCCGCACACACATAGCCGTGGGACTCAAGAAAGGTACTCTCAGCCAATCAGGACATGGCATTTCTTTGGTGACTATTACTGTTCCAAAGGGGGCCATGTGACCTACAATGGCCCAACCAGACCAAGGACTTTATTTCATGATTGGAAGGAGAGATGCCTCCATCCTTCTGGTTAAGAACCAGGAAGGATGCTGCCCTTCTTACTGCTGGTAGCCATTTTATGATGATGAGGGGACTGAATCTTAGGATGAAGCTAATGCTGTGGATGGTAGAGCAAAAAGAACCTAGATTTCTGGTGATGTTCAGCCATGCAGTTAACTGCTCTGGAAGCCAGCCCTCTGTTTGCACTTACTGTTATGTGAGATAACATTCTTATTATTTAAAATGGTTTGGATTGAGGGTTTTTTTTTTTTTTTTTTATTTGCTGCCCAAAACATCCTACCTGATAATGAATACTACCACAGAAATGCAGGAGAGCTTCTAGACCTGGAAAGATCTGCTTGACCAAACATTGTAAAGAGGACAAGTAAGATAAAAACTAAAGAAGTGTTGGATAGCAACAAAGAGGTGGTTGGTGACATTAGGGAGAGCAGTGTCAGTTGAGTGGGGTGGGGGAGAGCCATATTTCAGTGAGTTTGAGTGCACTGGAGTTGAGGAAAAGGAAAGCAAGGAATTTGATATAAAGGAGAAGATGAAGTATCATTGAAGACATAGGGAAATGGAATATAATTTTTTAAATGTTTAAGGTGAACAGGTTTAGTAGGAAGGATGATGATTGTATGTACTAATTAGCTGTTATGCATTGTGCATATTATGGAATGTACTAAGCATTCCATATGTTAATGTTTTTCATCTTTATAACACCTGTACAGGCTGGGCATTATTATCTCCCATTTACATTTGAGGTAACTGAGGCCTAGAGAAATTGAGAGTATCTTTCTAAAGATCACATACCTGGGAATTAGCAGATTCAAATCTAGGTCTTTTTTTTTTTTTGGTGTGTGTGTGTGGTGGTTTCATAACTGTTTGATCATCTGGTCATTTCTTATCCACACTGACTGACTAGGTTTTTGAAAGTGGTGATATGTACCTAAGTATCTAATGTATATAGAGTTTATTTGGCAAATCTTCATCCTCATTCCATTTTCTGAATGACTGCCCGTAAACACAGTATATTCCTTTATGGGGCATTCCCTATTTTCTTTGGCCCAGACAGCTTTGTTGAGCCTGGTGTCAATGAGCACATCTGGAGTTCCCATCTCCTTCATGGCAAATTTTCAGATCTCTATGAGTGCCTGAGGAGCATACCTCTTAAAGCCTATTCCATGGATGATGCACTTGTGAATGTTGATGGTGTGTTCTCTGGTCTGGTCACTAGCTCACTGGTGGCAGAGTGACCCTTCTCACTGCTCTTCTTTATGAGATAGCCATTCTGCTGGGCCCAGGTTGGAAAGGGAGAATGTCAGGTATTCCAAATCCAGGTTATTTTAATCTAATGCTGCCCTACCCTTCACCCGTGTGCTTTCCTCCCTAAAAGGTCAGTAGAGAGAAACAGATTGAAGAAAGGGAGATGATTTGTCAAGTAAAGCCTATCTAATACCTCAGAAAATGCATGTAACATAACCTTGGTCTGTGGTGGTTGGTTCTATTTGGACCACTGCCCCAGCAGTCCAAGCGTGGAATCAGAGATGCCTCTCCTTTGTTCTCCAGTATTGGTCTTTATAAGGCCTTCAGTTATCCTACAGTTCTTTATATATTAAACAAGGTGACAACCTGCATTCCCTTTCACTGAAGTGTGGTTTTTCCCTTTAACTTTACCCTGGTTGACCTGTAAGATATATGTAATTTTGATATTTGCCTAAAATACTGATGTTCAATAAGAGTGAATGCTTGATCACAACTCATAGTGCCAGATGTGAAGGAAAGCCTAGATCTATTGGAAATGTTTTGGGGTTCTGGGCAAGTGTCCAATGTCATGAGGTACTGAGAGTTCACAGTAGGGGTAGGATGAGGTTGCCAAGGCCAGACTAAGGAGGGAAAGGTTTCTCTGATTGGCTTTCCTAATAAACTCACCAGCTGCCATGGGATATGAGTTATAATGGGGCTAACTCTGGTTTAATACCTGCCCTATCTCTGAATATCCTATGTAAGACAATATACTTTCTTACCATTCAAGCCTATTTGTTTCAGATTTTCTATTAGTCAAGAGAGCCCTTCCTAATGTCCATGTCACAGCATAGCAAACATGATGACCAATAACATCCTCTTAAGACTGTAAGCCAAATTGGGCTCTTAAGGTTACCCTCAGGTCTCCCAGGGGTCATGGCCACTCAAAGCCAAGGAAGGGGAATTGGTGGACCCTTGTGCCAGTTCACAGTATGTGTAAAATAGAAATACAGGCACACCTTATTTTATTGTGCTTTGCTTTATTGCACTTTGCAGATACTGCATTTTTTTTACAAATTGTAGGTTTGTGGCAACCCTGCATTGAACAAGTCTCTTGGTGCCATTTTGGTAATTCTCACAATATTTAAAACTTTTCCTTATTATTATATTTGTTATGGTGATCTGTTATGGTGATCAGCGTGTGATTTGGTGTCACTATTGTAATTATTTTGGGGTGCCATGAACTATGCCCATAGAAGACAGCAAACTTAATTGATAAATGTGTGTGTTCTGA